TTGGAGAAACGTTTTTAACCTGGGTTTGGAATCCAGACTTGCAACCAAACATAGCAGGAACCCCATCTGTGCAAATGCCACACAAGTTTTTTCATTTGGGTTTGGAATCCAGACTTGCAACCAAACATAGCAGGAACCCCATCTGTGCAAATGCCACACAAGTTTTTTCATTCTATGGAATGTTCTTCAAAGAAAATATTCAAGATATTGAACACATCTTGTGCAGTGGTCATAGTTTCCAATGGTTTGCAGAACAAAAATTCTTCTTTTACATATTAATTTTTAATATACTGAACATACACCATCAGTTGTGCAAGATTATACACATCAGTTGTCTCATCAAGTTGCATACTGAATAATCTTCCAGGAGAATTTTTAATTGCTTCGATGACTTGAAATTTGATGTCATTAGATGTCAGTAATTCTACGCTTAATTGTATTACAAGACATGGACAAAGGTTGCAGCTTTTTCAAAGTATCTGCACCTACCAAAAGGCAGACAATCTCCTTGATACAGGGAACTAGATCCTCAGCTATGGTATGCTCTTTTGCAATTTTCAATGCTACAACGTATGAGGCTTCTATGGCAGCTAACTTTTGTTGCTGATAAGACCCACGATCAAGTCTGCATTTCTAGATACCTTCTGCTTTTTGTTTCAAAAAATTCACATCTCTGCTCTTAAATTGAGGGTGTTTAGTATTTAAATGACGTCGCAATTTAGTTGGTTTCAGTGATACATTGGAAAGAACTTCCATGCATATGACGCACTGTGGCCTTTCCACTCCTGCTGTAATTATCAAAGTAAATACATACTTGATGTATTCGTCAACATACTTTCTTTTTGCTGAAGTCATTTTTTCAAATAAAGGGCAAAATGAAATGTACAGTCCCCTGCTGTATTAATAACAAAAACACATGCACGCAATAAGATTGTGCCAAGCAAACACTAGATTGCTGCTTTACTAACAAAAGCACTTACATGCATTATGATTATGCGACATAGTAAGTCTGAGACGGTGTATATTACCGGCTGTTATTTACACCAGGGCTACTCAACTTTGGAAGCTCTGGGGGCCACAATGAGGGTGTGTCTAGACTACAGGGTTTTGTCGACAAAAGTGGACTTTTGTTGACAAAACTAAACCTGTGTCTACACTACCGCTGAGTTCTGTCGACATAACGTCGACAGAACTCAGCAGTTTTGTCGACACTGGTGTTGCATAAATTGCAAGGTTTCGTCCCCTTGGAGGCTAGTCTGATTTACCCCAAGAAGAGAGTCACACTTTCAGGCTGGGTCCAACTCAAGTTTATTGGTTGCAACCACGGTACGGCTAAGGAACTCAATGTTCAAATCAGAGCCGACGACCAACATCTCATAGGCAGGGGTTTTTATAGGGTTCACATCTTTCCTGGTTTAGGTGCCTTAACATGATAGGTTACTTCATCTTTGACATTTAGCATTCCTATAGGTCAGGTTAATTTTCCCAATGAGGTTAAATACAATGCCTACTTGCTGATTTTGCAGTTACCGCTGTGTTTACATTCATTCACTTTTGCTGAACAATGGGCAAGCCATACTTCCCTTTTTCCTTTCCTGCTTGAGCCGGTCACAAGTTTAAAGGATGTGGAATCTATCCATATCTCTACTTAACAGAAGACTGGTTTCACTTCCCCTCGTCTCCTTATTATAAGTTATTACCTGTGACAGGCCTTGACCTTTGTCATGTCTTACTCCTATACAAATAGCAAATATATCTAAGCATTAGCAATGTATGTATATTGTACGTGCCCCTCATAGGGGAATCAATGGCTCCGCGGGATTTGACTTCCCTTTTACACATCAAAGTGAAGTCCTGTTCAGCTTGCGAACAGGAACAGCTAACAGGGAGTTTGGAGAGGGAGTTCTCCAGGTAAAAGAGGAGTAAAAGTGGGTCCCTTGTGGTAAGTAAACCTCATTTTACAAAGAATAATGACTTCTGTCGACAGAAAGCGTTATTGCATCTAAACTGTCCTTTGCATCTACACTGCCATGTCGACAAAGCAGCTTGCTTTGTCGACAGAACTGAATGTAGTCTAGATGTTCTTTGTCAACAGAAGCTTTGTGGACAGTATCTGTCGACAAAGCTTCTGTCGACAAAAGCCTGAAATCTAGATGTACCCTGATATAGCACATGCCAAGGGCCGCAACTTAGCAGATCACAAAATTTATTAAAATAGCCCCTCTCCTACCACAGAGCTAGGCACCCTCCAGCTCCCCTGCTCCAACCCAATGCCCCTTCCCTCCCCCAGAGCCAGGCACCCCAGCCCACTACTTTATCCCTATGCACCCACCCCTCCCCCAGAACAGGCACCCTCCAGCCCTCCCACTGCAACCCAATTCCTGCTCCCCCACATAGTCCCAGCCTCTAGCCCCAGGCTCCGAACACAGTCCCAAGGCCTACTCCGGCACCCCTCAGCACAGTCCCAGCGTGTACCCTCAGCCCACAGAGCACAGTCCCAGCCCCTTCCCCAGGCTCCGCCACAAGTCCTGAGCTGCCTCCCCACCCAGGCCTGGTACGAAGAGCTCACCAGCACAGAGGCAGCCCCAGGGTGGCTGCAGACAAGACCATTCTCCGATGGGCACCAACTGCGTCTTGAGTAGCTCTGATTTACACAGTGCCCAGTGGTGCAGTTAATTTTGCCAGCCACGAGAAACTCGGCCAGGGCAGTGGGGGGGACCCTGGCCTCCCCTGTGGCTGCAAGCCAGCCAGGGCAGAGTCCTGGCCGGCCAACATCAGTTGCCCGAACCCTGGCTGGGGTGGCTGGAAACCTCTCAACCAGACACCCACCCCCACCTACCTGAGCTGGGCCCTGCTTCTTCTCTGGGTTCCCTAGCCCACCTCTAGGGATATTTCCCTAGTCTGCTCTGAGTCACTGAAATGGTATTCAATTCAACTGATCAGTTTAACTGCCTGAAGGTTGTTAAACCAGTTAAGTTGAGAACCACTTCAGGTAAATGGCTCCTTAAGACTAAGCCAGCTGCGGAGACGTTCAGCTGGGGACTTTTTCAAATGCGTGAATGGCTCCTTAAGAGCCATCTGGGGAGACAATTGGCAACCCCTTTGAAATGTAATGGCAACCCATAGGTTGGGAAATGCTGCCTTAGAGAGATAAAATTATGAAATGCATAGACAAAACCCAACCCCACAGTGCATGGGGTAGTGTCCTTTGCCTCAGTTTCCCACCTTGCAGTGACAAAAAAATGTCCCTTTAACACATCACACCCCTTTCTCTCCAGGGCACCCCACTTGCAGTTAGCTGTGCTTGGGTAGTGAAGACCCAAACTATAGAGGTGGGAATGGAAGGATGGACATAAGAATTTACCAAGTGAAAGTGAAATTACCAAGTTAAAAAAGAGAGAGAGAGAGAGAGAGAGAGAAAGCATATGTAAAGACAATGGCTGCCAAAAGATAATGATTGGCAGGTCTTAGGCCCTGTCTACACTCTAATGATTTCTCTATGCAAATTACACTGACAATCAAAAAACCCTGCTCTAATTACATGGCTTGTGCATGGTCACAGCACACTCCTTCTGTCTGTGGAGTGTCCACGGTTGGTGCTCTAGTATCAACAGTGATAGCAGGGCACAGTGTGTAACTATCTCACTGTGCTACTCAGAGCTGCCCTGTCCATAGGATGGCTTGGAGTGGCTGCCCTAGGCCATGAGCTTTGTGAGCTTTGTTTGCACTCAGCTTCACTGCAGCAGCAGGAAGCAAAATGCGCTGGCCTCAGGCCTCTCTGCTTCCCGCCACCGCAGAGACGCAGAGCGCAGCGGGCTGGGATAGGGTAGCAGAGCGGAGTTGGCTGCCAGACCACTCTGGATCCCACTGCCTCAGTGAGTGTGTGGGGGCGCATCCCTGGCTGCTGTTACATTTCAAAGGCAGAAGCGCAGTAGCTAGAACACGGGGTGAGTGAGGACTGCTTGAGTCCCTGCTCACCACATGTTCCCTGCTGCCCTTCTGCCTTTTAAATGTAATAAGAGCTGCGGCTGGCTCTTACCACATTTAAAAGGCAGAGGCACAGCTGTCATAGCGAGTGCTATGGGAAAATGGGGGGCCCCGAACGCCTCACGATCAACTGGTCAAGGCCTCGCGAGCTACCAGTCAATCGCAATCGACCGGTTGGCGACCACGGCTTTACAGATGGTCGGGCCAGGCACATGATGCCTGCATATTTAGGAACTCTTACCTCTATCGCAGGCTAGAACATTCTTCCCAGAGCACAACTTTGCGGTGGCGACGTGCAGATGTTGACTTGCATCATGGGAGATGCGGCCTACCCACTGATGCTGTGGCTCATGAAGCCCTGCACTGGCCACCTGGACCTGAGGGAACTGGCCACCTGGACCTGAAAAGGGAATAATTTAACATGCACCAGAACTGGGCTTGGATGCAGGTGGAACGAGCCTTTGGGCTCCTCAGAGGGCGGTTCAGATGCCTGCTCACTCGCCTCAACATGGGGGAGTACAACATCCCTGAGGTGGTGTCTACGTGTTGCGTGCTCCACAACCTTTTAGAGAGCAAAGAGGAGGCCTTCCTCCTGGGGTGGGAGACACCAGCTGGTGGTGAGGGGAGGCAGTTTGAACAGCCCTGGATAGCTACCATCAGGTCGGCGTGCACATTTGGGAGGCCCTGAGAGAGAGATTCTCTGAAGGAGCCCAACAACTCTACCCAGGGCCTCCCCAATGGGGGCTTGTGACTTGCCCCCCAATACCTTTCCCAACACAACCCCTTCCTTCCCCCATTTCCTGGATAATCAATAAAGACAACAGTTTTGATTTCAAAATAAACTCTGTGTTAACTTATACAAACTGTGAGTAACTGGGGTGGAGGGGGGGGCTCATATCCTGGAGGAGGGAAAGGGGCTCAGAACCAGGAGGGGGGCTCAGAGGCAGGAGGG